TTCTGTTTGCAGAAGAATGGTTTGACTATAAATGTTCAGTTTTTACTATCATGCTGATAACTATTTAGTCACTCGGCAGAACTACAGTTCAACCTGCTGTGGTTAAAATCCATTCTTACAACATATTCTTTTTTGCCCTCATACTCCTCCCATTATCAACTTTAACGGCAAGTGTCTCATTTTTACATTAATGCCTTTAAAACACTTGTAAACACTATGCTTGTGGTTTTGTTGCAAAGTAAAAACTACTACAAATAAACAAAACATAAAATGCTACAACACGATAGTTTGTGTCAACAACATGTTACAATGTTGAAATTGTAGGTGACTAAGGTGACTTAAAGTCATCATAAAACAAAAGTGATGTACATTCACTTGAAATTGAAATGAGAAAAAATGTCTTTCATCCTTTTGGAACCAATTGGATTGTTGGAAGATGGGTTTTGGGAAAAAAAATAAAGGAATGACGAATGGATGAAGGCAGAGCAGAAGCAAGACACACCCTGATAGCAATTCCTAAAAGGTATTCTATGTTACCAGAGGTGAAGAAAAACAAGAGGTAAAGAAGTTTATGGTAGCTTGTAAAAGACTATGAGGGCAAGTATTTTTTTTTCAAAACATCAAAGTACTTAGATTGGTCATTTACAACAAGCTCTATTGTATACATATAAAAATAAGAAGAGCACATTTAAATTTCATGGCAATTTTTAAGATACAGTAGGGCGGATGAACTAAAATAGCAAACGTGATTGAGCAAAGCTGTGCAGGCCATGGAAGATGTTCAACTTTACTTATATGTTCATCAAACCACTCTTTCAACAGTCTTGCTGTGTGTATTGGTTCATCATCATCCTGTTACATGGCACCATCTTCAGGATACAATGTTTTAACCATTGGATACACATGGTCCTTTAGAATAGTTTGGTACTCCTTGGCAGTGACACACCCATGAAGTGCCATCGCAGCATGTTCCAACTTTTGTATTTTCAGCGAACAGACAACCAATAGCACTGCCAGTGCACACAAACTCATAGAAAAAATGTGACTCAACGAGGAATGCTTGTCATATATTGTGTGCCTCCCCTACACATCTTTAAAATCTTTCCTTAAGCAATCGTACAGGAGCGGATGCGTCTATACCAGATCTGCTACTGGACTTTCTAGTGGGAAAAAACACCATCTCCGACCTCTGCCAAACACTGGCCAGCGCAGGGGTTAGCGTTCCGCGCCAAAGCAGATCTAGCCATTTATAACTTCCTGCAATCCGGAGCGCCTCTTCCTTCCATCACCTCACCACTTCGAAGCGCTCCATACCAACTTTCAGATCCAAACCTGTCCTCCAGATCCAGACGCAGCAGTAGGCCTTCTGCAAGCCTGGGATAAGCCCCAGGTCCGGAAGACGTTGGATGTCAATACTCGAAAGGTGGAATCAACGCCATCTCAATGCACGCCTCCACAAGTAGCCAGTATAGCGTGAGCTTGCCTCCACTAGCGACACCAGAATCCCATCCCTAACTCCTTCCTTGGCTCGCCGCCCCTTCATCCAACTCCAGCGTAAGGTCGCTACAGAAATCACAGGCCCAAATTCCTAATCTGCTTCCCCATCCCATTCAGGGTTCCACTACCAATGCAAGTGTGGCAGCCCCTGCTTCCAGTGCAAATCCCAGCTCCACTCATTCCTCCCCTTCTTCCCCAGGTTTTCTCAGGCCCCGGCATCAGCTTCAGTGTAAAGCCTCCCATGATGTCACTAAGGCCAATGCCGGCAGCTCCTCGTCTGTTTTCATTTCCTTCTACCTGCTATCCAGGAGCCGTCAGTAGCGCGAGCATGGCTCTGCAAGAGGCTTCAGCCTCCAACTTTCCACAGTCATTCTCTCACACTAAGTCTTTTTCTCTGTCCACAGCCACATCTCTACCTGTCCCACCCAACACCCTCGCACTGGATCCTCCACCTGTCTCCAACAGCATTAGGAGCCAAATCCTATTAGGTGAGATGTAGATCTTTTTTCACTTCTCTCACCCATTTCATCCACATTGGCAGATCGTCAAATAGATTGCGACGAATTCTCAGTCACTCTAAAAACTCAGCTAACATCCAGTCCCGCATTTTACCATTCACAGAATTTATCATAGATTTTCTCAATCCACCAATATCATCTGTTCTGTTTTTCCCCACAGGAGGAGCAAGCTCAGTGATTATCTCGCAATAATCGCTGAGCTCGCGCTCTCATACAGAGGCTTCCATTTCTATACTTATCACCGCCTGTTTTCTGCTAAATGCACCATTCGCATTACACAATGGACAAAGTCCTCATATTGAGGAGCCATAGACACCGATCTCTACAGCAAAGTTTTCCTTGGTTGTCACAATATATCTTGTGTTGTCTGCCTATCCACCACCCACCCCACCGAATCATGCCCATTTATTAATCCGCTCACTCTTCCCTTCCCCGCACCAGCCCAGCCAAAATCCAAAAGTTACGTCCCACACTTTACTTTATACCCAAACATACAGCCCCTCTTTTCAGTTTGCCACCCTTGTGTCTAAGCCTCAGCCACTCCCTGCATCATCTTTAACACGAGCAGGTGCTGGCGACAGAAATGTCATTTTTTATGTCTGCAATTTCTGCAGCGGCACCAACACCTGCACTATTTGTCTCGTGAAAAAATCTGCAAATAAAAATGCTAGAAAGTACCTATCGACTCCTGTGAATGTTTCTGGCCTAAGAATTGAATTGTTCCAACATACCATGGCCAACTTCACTGAATTTCTATTAACGAGTTGTGTCCTTAGGTTTCTATCCAGGCGTACTTAGCCTCCCCTCCTGTAGTCTTGTTTTTCCAAATCTTCAGTCCGCTTTCACTGAACCCGACGGTGTCAACCTTTTAATCAAAAAGCAATTAGATGAAAATTTCATGATTAGCCCCATCTCCGCACCTTCTTTCAGAGTTTTCTGCATCAGTCCTATCAAGGTAGCCACGAGAAATTTCTCAGATAAAAATGCCTTATAATCGACCTTTCCTCACTGCATAACTCTCCGTTTCCTAGCATCAACAGCCTCATCCCTCTCAAAGAAATCTCACTAAACTATCACAACATCAACCAAGCCATTTCCCTATTTAAAATTGTGGGTTGCGGTGCTTGGATGGCTAAAGTCAACATAACATCCGCCTTTAAAGTCATGCCCATCCCCCCTGACTTCTGGCATCTGTTTGGCATTGCTTGGTGTGGAAAATATTATTTTTCCGCTCGCCTAACTTTTGGCTGCAGAAGTAGCCCAAAGATTTTTGACGATTTTCTAATCATCTCACCACTCAATGCTATCCCAGTCTCGCACCTCTCGACAGTTCAAAAGTTTTTGCCAAACTCGAGATTCTCCAAGCGGAAAAAGAAAACTCTGGTCCAAGTACTTCCATCAAATTATTGGGCATTCAATTAGACTCCAAACAATTTCAAGCGTCCCTACCAAAAGAAAAAAATAATCGATTGAACGATCCTGGCAGCTTCCATCCTATTAGACAGCCCCATTTGTCACGCATTCGGCATGAGAGTCACGCAATTGACAGTATTCTCACACTCTCACCCCACACATCATGCAGTAAAATCATCTCCGTGAAATATTTATTCCGTTATAAAGACAGTTTTAAAGACTTTTATCATTATATAAAGATGTTATTCTTTATGTGCAACCGAACCAACTCTGGGGAAAGCAATGTAATCTAAAACAAACTGACGCATGCGCGTACTGCTCCTGCTTCCCACTGCTTCCCAGTTGTAAACATGCATGTGGAAAAAAAATGCGTTGCTCACGTGCCGCTCATGCCTTGTGCTACAGATGTTGTGCCGAGAAACGCATCCCTGCAGTAAGATGCACCCCTTTCGAACTTACATTGAGATTCTCAGTCTACATTAAAACCAATGTAGGCCATAACTGATTAAAACGTAATATGATTATCGTTGATAGATAAAGCAAAAACAACAAATGAAACGCATTTTAAAATGCACTAGGTTTCCAAATAAATGTATAAAAAAAAAGAGTCTTCTGTTATCTTCTGTAAGGGAAGGGTTTACTCCCATTGGTTCACTCTCCAAATGCTGATATTAAAAAATTATCAATTCAAGTTAATAAATTCATATTTCAGAAGGGGAGCAATTTATGGCAGGGGTAACAGCCTATTACAGGTGTCAGCACGCAGTGAGTTTTGGAAGTCATCAAAACCAAAGTTAAATAATATGATTATGATCTTATTTTGACTAGGCAAAAGTACCTTCGGCCCACAAGCCTCAATCAAGTTTGATTTTTGGTCATTCTTAAGAAAAAGTTTAGGCACCTCTGCTCTAGTGTATTCATGTGGCTAGTGGCTAGTTCACTTTGGTGAGGCATTTCAAATGATTAAATCAAACTCAAAAGTAACTTTGCTTTGACCCAGTTTTGCTTGAAATTACATCATTTCAGTTCATTCTACAAGTGTTGTCCGCTTAGTGCTGGCCCTGCAAGGGCATCTGTCATCTAGCCTTCAAGAATCCCTCACTAGACCAACACTGGCCCTGCATGGGCAGCCCACAATTAAGGACTAGCAAAGGCGACCTGTTCTGGTTCACATAAGGCCTTCATGGGATCAAGGCTGTCTTTAAGTGGGTTACTTACACAGAGCATCTAGTGAGCCTGCAAACGGATCATACCTGGGCTAGGCCACACTGGGCCTGTTTAGATTTGGTGTGGACTGGCCACAGCCCACAAAGAGCCAGTACTCCACAAAAAAACAAAAAAAAAAACAGCATAGGCCATACAGGAGCACGTTTGCTGAAATGAATCATCCTAGTCAGATGGAAAAACAAGCTTTTGATTGATTGATTTTTTACCTTTAGTCTAGGTCTTAAATTAGAAGTATTTTCTCTGCAGAATTGCACTACACGTCAATATTCAAACTGCACAGCACCTCCCATTTTTTTATTTTCTGTCTTTGTTCCATCCCTCTCATGCTGTTACAGCTATATAAAGAGAGAATCTCAAAGAAATTCAAACCATAAAGGCTTACAAATGTCAAGTCAATATCTGCCAACAAAGCTGCTAAGCAGAAACATTTCTTTAGGCAGGATCATCAGTATAACTGCTTTATTTATTACTGTCTTGTTTGTCTGTTTCTTGTTTTTCAGCTTATGGACTCCAATGGCACAAATGGTGATGTGCCTTTCCTTCATCAGCAAGTATTTCAGCTGGATTGGGATCCTCTCACCATTTGTGAAACTATATTGGCTGTGTTAACATCTCTGTTTTTCTTTTTTGTCAACTGCGTGATGTTCCTGGCTCTAAAAAGCAAGCACATATTCTTTGAGACGCCACGCTATATTCTTTTTGGCCACATGCTTATGAATGACTCTGTGCTTTTGCTGCTAACAACTGTCATGTTCATGTTGGCTCTGTGTTTTTATCCAATACATAAATCCATATGTACTCTGTTAGTCTTCACCTCAACCCTTGCTTTCAATAATGCTCCTCTGACTCTAGCACTGATGTCTCTGGAGCGATATGTTGCAATCTGCTTCCCTCTGAGACACTGCACCATCGCCACACCTAAAAGAACTGGAATCGCCATTGGAATCATCTGGTTTCTAAGTACGATCAATGTTATCATAGATATAATTATTGCTTTAGTTAATAACCCAAATTATTTAGCAGATATTGCATTTTGTACACTGGAGCAATTGTATATAGCCAAATGGCAGGTGGATAAAGCTCAGTGGTTTTCTGTGTTTTATTTTGTGTCTGTTGCAGTGATCATTATATCAACATATATTAGCATTATGATCACAGCCAGGTCTGTTTCATCTGATAAAGATTCTGCTAAAAAAGCTCTAAGAACAGTGATGTTGCACTTGATTCAGCTGGGACTGTGTCTCACCTCTTTTTTATTTGCCACAATAGAGATGATACTATACATTATGATAGGAAGCACATCGCCTCTCTTCATCAATCTGAGATATTTAAATTATTTTGTTGTTCTCATTCTACCACGTTGTTTGAGTCCTCTGATCTATGGCATGAGAGATGAAGCTGTGTGGCCCTTGTTCAAATATTACTTCTGCTATCGCTCAGGCAAAGTAAAGCCCTCTGTTAATGTGCATTAAAAATATGAAAGGATTCGAAATAACAATGTGAAAAAGCAAATGGGAATGTCAAATAAAACTACATGTAAATAACTATTATATGATATTTTATATTATGTATGGTTATATAATTATTTAAGTCACTGTCAATCTTCAAAAATTAATGAAATGATTAACTTAATATTATTTAATAATCAAATTATTGACTATTTAAATTATTGAAAGTTAATATTTACATCTGAAATGTGGTAATAAATAGGTTAAGTTCTCTGTAGACCATATGTTTTCATAACTGCTTTTCAGGCTTAATTTGTGATGTGTCTTGAACATTTTAAAGCCCTCAGGAAAGTTTTTGAAAACATACAGTATTCTTAACTAAAAAAATTGGTTTACATTTTGAAAGGGTTGGTGATATACTCATAAGCAAAAAAATAATATTAAATGTTTTTTATTTAAACTGTTCACTTTTTATACTTTAATTTCAATTCTTTGTCACTTTTGTCATGTTTTTGTCATAGATGCTTTTAATGAAAATATAAATTTTGCCTTGCTGCTAAAATTAAATTTGGCTTCCTTATACATTAGATAAGTGACAGACAGTTAAAGACTGCTGTGTTTTATTTTGTGTCGTGTATTTTGTTGCATTGATCATTATATTCACATATATCAGCATTATGATCACAGCCAGGCCTGTTTCCTCTGATAAAGATTCTCCTGAAAACGGTGATGTTGCACGTGATTCAGCTGAGACTTTGTCTCATCTTTTTTCTATATGCCACAATAAAGTGAAGACTTTTGACAGTGATTGGAAGCACATCTCCAATCTTCATAAATATATTTCAATTATATTTTATGGTTTTCATCGTACCACATTGTTTGAGTCCTCTGATCTTCAGCATGAGAGATGAAACTGTATGGCCCTTGTTCAAATATATATATATATATATATATATATATATATATATATATATATATATATATATATATATATATATATTATATTATATTATGTTTAGCGCTGTCAAAATTAGTGCGTTAACGCATGCGATTCATTTTATATAATTAACGCGTTAAAAAAATTAAAGCAATTAACACAATTGCAGGTTTTTTTTTACTTCCTGTTGTGGTGGACGTGTGTTTAACATGCAAGAAATGTGGATAAGACCAAGGAAGCACTTTTTGAAGGCAAGTTTCAGTATAAAACAATTAGTCGCATTACCAGGCTCTCCAAAGTTTCATGTAATTTCAGGTGTTTCATTTTTAACTTTCGACTTCTGTTGAAAGTTGATACCGCATGGCAAACAGAAAGAAAATCCTCCGCATTTCGTGACTTAGTGTTTTATTTGCCACAATAGAGATGATACTATACATTATGATAGGAAGCACATCGCCTCTCTTCATCAATTAGAGATATTTAAATTATTTTGTTGTTCTCATTCTACCACGTTGTTTGAGTCCTTTGATCTATGGCATGAGAGATGAAGCTGTGTGGCCCTTGTTCAAATATTACTTCTGCTATCGCTCAGGCAAAGTAAAGCCCTCTGTTAATGTGCATTAAAAATATGAAAGGATTCGAAATAACAATGTGAAAAAGCAAATGGGAATGTCAAATAAAACTACATGTAAATAACTATTATATGATATTTTATATTATGTATGATGTTATATAATTACTTAAGTCACTGTCAATCTTCAAAAATGAATGAAATGATTAACTTAATATTATTTAATAATCAATTAATAATCAATTAATTAATATTTTTTTTAACTTCCTGTTGTGGTGGACGTGTGTTTAACATGCAAGAAATGTGGATAAGACCAAGGAAGCACTTTTTGAAGGCAAGTTTCAGTATAAAACAATTAGTCGCATCACCAGGCTCTCCAAAGTTTCATGTAATTTTGGGTGTTTAATTTTTAACTTTCGACTTCTGTTGAAAGTTGATACCGCATGGCAAACAGAAAGAAAATCCTCCGCATTTCGTGACTCAGTGTTCCTTTAAGGTAATAAAATTACTGCTTAGGCTACATGGTCGAATTTTAATAAGAGTATAATCTTAATCATATCAAAATCGGAGTATTGGTGTCTTATGTGAATGTACTCAGAAAGTCTCTGGTGAAGTCCCGAGCATTACTCTGGCTTTCAGCATGAGCCCTCTAAGTTTAGCGTGTTTCCTCATTAAACGCAATGAAAGTGTCTGCTTCGCGTTGTTGTGTCAGAATCCTTGTGAAATACAGTAATACTTTAGGATGCTTAATTTAAGCAAATTTGATGAACGTGATCATGCGTGTTGAATCTGAGGGGAGTCACTCCAGTATGGAAGGCCGTTGGGGCCAAAACGTTTGCAGCGCGTTGTGAGTGTGTCTGTGTCAGGCAAATTGAGGGTTGTCAGGGGTGGAGTGAGCGACGTATCTGAGTAGGGGCGTGTGCGCGCGAGACATACCTGAAGGACGGTGGGGGTGAGTTGCGCGCGACATAGGCTACCTGAAGAGCTAGGAGGGATGCGGGGGGAGAGGGGTGTGCAATGTATTTAATGACCGGTTTGCGAGAAATTATCATTCATTTGCGGGCATTTGGGAGTCTCTGTGCACTTGTAGGATACTCCTAGTCTTAGCAACTGGATGAATGTAAAGGAGGATTAAGCAAAATTGTTTCTACTCTATAACTAATTTTCTCAACTCACAGCAAAAAAACTTTACAATGAGTGCAACTGTTTGATTCTATAGTTTATTATTATAATTTTTCATTTTGCATATCTACAATTCCTGTATTTTGGCATATTTTTGCAGTCCACTTAGAATCCAACATTGAAATCAATGTTTTCTTTATTGGCATTGATTGTTTTGAAATTTAAATGTCATTAACATGCCTGTGTTTTAATTTCTTTAAAAATATGGCTGTCAAGCCAGGATCTTGATGGTTTATTGTGGGTATGTTGTTTACATGAAGAAATCTGTGTTACAAGTTAAACAAAAATTCTAATAAACAATTATATTTTGAATTTAAATAGTTTTTGTCTAGCGTTTACATTAATTTTACATTTGAATAGCCAAAATTACAAGTTTCAGTATTTTAAATGCGATTAACTTCACTAATTTGCGAAGCTGAAGGGACAAAACCTTAAGAGAAATCAGACCTTAAACCTTAAGAGAAACCAGGCTCAGTTGGGCACGACCATTTCTCATATGGCTAAACTTCTTGTTCAGAGCTGCAGTCTAGGAAACGGATGCTGGAGAAAGCTGGACATTCATTGTGGAGGAGCTACAGGTGGGAGAGGACATTGGTTGGTGTACAGGCTGGCCCTTCAAGATTAATGCGAAGACTTGTCTGTCATTGGGGTCTTACAGGAATCTATCTCATGCTCTCCATTCCTCCATGACCACCACAACAGCTGCTCAGAATGCAGCCTGGTTCAGGATTATGGAAACCTCAAGAATAATAAAAAAAAGACTAACATAATGTATTTTGGGTTGTGTTCCCAGCTCCAGTTGCTCTAAATCAGGAATTCTCAACCAGTGGGCCACGATCCACTAGTGGGCCTCAGCGATCCTGCAGGTGGGCTGTGAGATAGCTTAAAATTAACTTAATTATTGTACTATAATTATTTGATTTCATCATTAAATATGTTTTATATAAAAATGATTAATGTAATGGCATTTCCCATTTTCTGTTATTGATTACTTTGGAGTCACTGTAAAACACAAACTCAACCGTGGCTGCACTTCTAACTGTTACACGTCAACTAGGACTACATGCTGTATAGAGCAAACCGTCATGCAAAGGTAACGATGATAAGAGTTATAACCAGTTTGCGCGTGCCTCACGTCTGCGACTTTTTTCACAGTCACATATCTTCGTTTATTAAAACTATGCATGCTCTCTTTGAGTAAACTCTTTAAAATATCAGCATAGTTGTCCAAATTAGTGTTTTATAATGGACGCACACCCATACAGGAAGATCTAGCGAGACTCAGTGATGTCTAAGAGAACAGTTGTTCACTACTGTCAACAAACTCCAATAATTTCCTAAAACCCAACCACCTTCATATCCATGTGTTTTAACAGACTTAAGAGTGTGTTTACTGTATTTTACTTTTTTTGTTTATTTTTAATGGATATGATCAATAGATGAATAGTAGTCAGTAAAATTAAAAAAAGCAGCCTTTTTGTCATGTTTTCCTGTACAGGTTCATTTATTAAAGAAAAGGCCCAGATACTCTACAGTTGTAAAAAAAAAAAAATTACTGCAGGAGCTTTGAAACTTTATGTGTTTTAAAAAATAAATAAAATATTTATTATTAAATATATATTTTTATAAAATGCTGTAGAAAAATAAGATAATAATAGTATAATCAAAATAAATGCTTTTTAAAGCATAAATAATTTTGCTAAAAGCATAAAAAATGATTTTGCTAAAAAATAAAGGTTTAAAATAAGCATTTTCTCTAGACAATCAGTTTAAGAAAAAATGTCAGATGTGGCCTTCAAATAATTTTCGGAGAAGGAGGTGGGCCCCGAAGTGAAATAGGTTGAGAACTGCAGACTAACAATCCTTTAGAGCAGTAGTTCTCAAACTTTTTTTACACCAAGTACCACCATAATGACCAGAATTGAAATACAGTAGTGTAGTAGGCCTGATTAAGCAGCTACAGGACTGCACAGTTCGAAAACAGAGTCATATTCATATTTATGCAATTTTTAAAACATTTTGAAATATATAATGCATGTACATATGGAATATTTGTAAAACCTTTAGAAATCTAAACATTATCTTGTATGTAGATTGGTAGGGAACCTGTTTTTCTCAGAGGATGTCAAGTTGACAAAACATTACTGCACTCTGATAAAAGTTTTATTTTTTGGAGAAAGTTAAAAAGCACTGCAGTGTTGAGGTGTTCTATGTTTGTCTGAGATAATGAGTCTAAGGAAATTATATTCCATACAAAATATGACGTGACGGCATTCTGTAAAGGTAGGATATTTTCAACTGGGGACACCTGGAATATGCAAAAGTGTCATGCTGCAGATCTTACCTCATTTTTAAATTACCTCATGGGTTAAATTTTGGTACTCAAGTGACCGAGATGTAACAAGTGAATATGATCATTTTTCAAAATAAAAGATTATAAAATAAAAAATTATTGTTCAGACTCAGATAATGAATAAAACGGAAATAATTATTTTTTTGTGCGGCCTGGTACCAATTGATCTACAGACAAATGCCGCTCTGTGGCCCGAGGGTTGGGGACCACTGCTCTAGTGCGCATCTGCTCTGCAAGCACCATACACCTCTTTCTCTAGTTCTGCATTATTTGGATTGATTTTTAGCAGCTGATGATGAGATGCACTAAAATAAACATTCTAAGCACACCCCTTTATTTGTAGGATTTAGAGAACAGCCAATGCTGACCACATTAGTGTTATCGTACACATCAAATTATCTTATTTTATTATTTTTATGCTTTACATTTATATCCTATATCTATTCTTATTATATACTATATATATCTTTAATATTGATTTTTTTTCATATGTAAAGATATTTGCCTATTGCTCTCTTGTGCGTATTAAGCAGTGTGTAAGCGAGGCACAACTCTGCGCCGGAGTCTAGACCGGGTTTGCTTTGGTCTAATGAAAAATCTATTTTAGTTTCTCAAAATAGCAACGCGCCAGCAGTGCGCCTCAGAACGCCTTCCTTTTTAGACCAGAATGTCAATGTACGCACATATGAGCGCTAATGCATTTGCTAATTAAACAGCGTAGCGCAACGCCTCAAAACGACTCTTGCGCCAAGCTGAAACTAGCAA